ACAAGGGAGGAGATTGCCCATCCTTCGACTGAGGAGCAGCTGGTTGATTTGAACTGCGTGCCTTTACAATTACCACAACCACACAATTTCTTATCAGTAGGCTACTTGAGCGTCCTACGCCTTGTTGTTGTTGTTGTTGTTGCTGTGCACCATTGAGAAAATCAACTTATAGCTGACTCTCCAGTGGGTTTTCAGAGGCATTTTAATCACAAAGGAGGAGATTGTCCATCTTTCTACTGCAGAGCAGGTGGTGAATTTGAACTGTGTGCCTTCAGGATTGCAGTACAGTTTCTTACCACTAGACTATTAGAGCATCCTACCACTTCTTGTTCTTGTTGTGTACTGTCAAGTTGGAACCAGCCCATAGCTAACTCTCCAGTGGGTTTTTTTAAGGCAATTAATCGCATGAGAGGAGATTGCCCATTTTTTTCCTGTGAAGCAGCTGGTGGATTGGAACCACATGCCTTTGGGATTACACCACACTCCTTACCAGTAAGACACTAGAGCTCCCTAACAAGTTCCCTAAAAAGGTGATGTTCTCTCATAATTCAGTATTCAACAAAACATGTGGAAAAGACAAACTAAAGAGCAAATGCATAAATTAATCTTGTTAAAATAAACCTTTATAAAAACAAAAAATAAACCTTTATATAAGCAGAGAGAGGAAATACGGAGTGAAAGGTCTAAGGATAAAATGAAAAGATCTGACATGGACTGTTGAAGAGTGAGCTGCATTTTGGAACTATGCAATTAGGAATGTCAGCACTAAGATGTAGAACAGGAAATATGAGTAGCTTAAAATGTGATGTACCTTCAAGGACACTACAAAAGACCAAGTAATCACATTATGGGTACCAAGAGATCAAGGGTACATCCTGTGATGAACCTGTTCTGGAGTTCGGGGAAATGACGGCCAGCTGTTCTTGATGAAGCCTACTTGAGGCACGATGACCCAGAAAGTCCATATGGTACCAAAGGCAAAAGCTTAATTAGATCTATCCCTTCGCACAGCATAAATTCACTTTCCCAGAAGGAAGGAGATTAATTGTAATGCACACATGGAGAGGGTGACTTTAAGAAATGCTGCAACTCTGGAGGCTGAAGCATAATGCTGCTTAATGGTAGTTCTCTTTGCTTTTGAGGAGAACCCTAAAAAAGCAGTCCTTAGTGAGTTATGCTGTTCATCCAAAGGCTCTGACCATTGGAATCCGAAGCCACCAGGGCTCCCTTCCAATTATCGGCAGGTTCCAGAAGCCAAAGAGGAAGAGTCTCCTCTTGTGGCAATGCACAGCCTTGGGAACCGGAGGGAGCCTCATTATGACTTGGAATTGACTCAGCGTCACTAAAGTTTTTAGTTTGCAGTGCATATAATTTCTATCGTGAAAACTTAGTAATTGGCAAGGATTTGGCTAGGTGGGTGTTGTTAGCTACCATTGAGTTGGCTATGACTCATGGCACCCCTATGAACAGCAGAGCTGAAACTTGTCCTATCCTGAACCTTCCTCATGATGTCTGATATGATAAAGCACATTGTTACAGTCACTGTGTCAATCCTTCTCCTTGGGAGTCTTCTTCTCCTCCTTAGATTCTCCACCTTTCCTCCACCCCTATGCTGTTCCATGGCCCAGCAGATCTTAGTCCTTAGGGCATTATGGCATTAGCCTAAAGGCACGTCACTGGTGGTTCTAATCCACCAGTTGCTCTACTGGAGAAAGATGGGCGATCTTCTCCTGTGTGATTTACAGCCACAGGACCTTGCTGAAAGGCCAACTGGGAGTCCATTTTGACTCTACAACAATGATTTTGATTTTTTTTTAGTTTGATCAAAAACACAGGCACGCATAGGCCAGAGGGAGTTGTACTGCTAAACCAAAGCTTTGCCTCTCTGGAAATTCAGAGCCACCAGATGTTCTGCAGGAGAAACACGGACAATCTTCACCCGTTGTGATTTGCAGCCAGGAAGCCTTCTGGGGCTGTGTGAGTTGACTCTGACTGAGTGACAATGCCAGGAGGGACATTGGGACACACAACAACATGTGTGAAAATTAGAAATACTCTTCCATGGGTGTGTCTGCAGAAGAGCTCATTTTTCCTTTTCCTGAGCAAAACATTTCAATGTATCATTCATACATTTTACATGACACTAAAAAGTAATCAATTTATATTACGATACCAAAATTAAGTTGCAGTTGATCTATGCCTTTCAATTCAAAGCCTTTATTCTTTGCTGTTGTTTAACATTCATATCACAAAGGTTGGTCTTAGCCCTGATGGTGTAGTGTGTAATGTGTCAGGTTGAGAATCCAAAGGTTGATGGTTCTCACCCACCAGCAACTCCATGGGAAAGAGATGGACAGTCATCTCCAAAAAGATTTACAGTTTGGGAAAACCTGAGGAAAGTCTCTAAAAGCTGAACTTTATTAGATGGCAGTGGCATTGGTTGGGGTTTGGAAGACCCTAAAGGAATGGCATGCTTCCAGAAAGTCTATGAACTTTGATAAATGTCAATAGTTCTAGAAAGGCTTCAGGCCTTTTGTTCATAAGGTTGCTATGAGTCGTGCTTGACTCCACAGCAATCAACAAAAACAAGAACAAAGAAAGGAAGAGGCAGCTCTGAAGGCTTAGTAGTAAGGAATTGTGCTGCCAACCCAAAGGTAAATGGTTCAAATCCACCACCTGTTCCTCAGGGAAAGATGAGCAGTCTCCTCCCCTGTGATTTACTGCCTTAGAGAACCACTTGAGGATCAGCTGTGGGTCAGTTCTGACTTAAAGGCACACATCAACAAAGGGAGAGAGAGGGGAAGGCTTTCTCAGAATGCTTTTCAGAGATAATTTACAAAATAATCACCACATCCAAACAAATAAATGCCGTTTGAGATGATAAAGTTTATGTTTAATTTGAGAAGTCTGAAAATGTCTATTATAAAATGTATTTTCAATTAGTACAGGAAACAAATCATTTTTGTATCCTTCCCTCTCAAGCTTCAGTTACTTTATCTGAAAGAAAAAACTGAAGTAAATTCTTTTGTAAATGCTAACAGAAACTAATAAATCACCAAGCGTTTAAATACCCTTTTTGATGAGTGCCATGACAATTCACATTTAGCCCAGTGACTTTGTTTCCAATGGCAGTTTCTCTTTGGAGCAGCAGTTCAGAGCAATTTTAAGCAGGTTAAAGTCTTTTACCTTAGAGAGCTGTGATTGCTTTCATGTCCTCATTATTAAATGGGCAAAGCTGCCTCTTGCATCTTGTTTGGGAAGCAATGAAGAGCAGGATTAAATGATAAATGAAAAATCTTGCATTATCTTCCCCCCCCCCCACCCCCATCCTGTTTTGTATAGGATACTGATCTGGCTAAGATACTTTCCTATAACAGGATGTTGAAAAATGACCATTCAATTAAAAGATTCTTTGCTCCCCTCTCTTTGAGAGAGCATTTAATCTAAAACAGAAACTTGACAAGCATATACCATGTATCCGTTACTATAGCGCCGAAAGACCTTTCCAGCTGTTTACTCTTCGGATGTAAAATGGCAATTTGACATAGACTAACAGTGTGATGTGAGCATCTGCGTAAAAAGGCTACACACTGAGCATGCCCAGTGCAATGAGCGCGTCCCCTCCCCTCCCCCTCCAGATCTCTGAAGATAAGGCTTGAACTTTGCACTTGCAAATGTCACTGCATACGTTTTACATTGGGGCTTTTTTTATTAAAGGTTCTCTTACAACTAATTTCCTTGAACAATGCAAGAGCAGGAAAGGTAACATTTAGGGTAGTGAAATGCATCAAGTTTGGAATGAGTTGCTGCCTCATTAAATGTACTGGAAGTGTTCTTTATTTTTAAAGCAATAGAAAGCATTTGTGTGTTTACTCCCCCACCCCCCCCGGAATGGGAAAAGAAGAGTCCACTTGAATTGGAGTCTTTCAGGGCAAGGCGTGTAAGCCCCCGGGGGGCAGAGAGAGACAGCTGAGAGGGTCTTGCACAGAGCATGGCTGGGAAAGGAGCCGGGGTGCTCTGGGGCTCCGCTGCGTGCACGAGCCTTCTGAGGATCTGTGCTGGGGGCTGCAGCTGCGGACGATAAAGGCGCTGTCTGGCTAATGAAGGCCACCTGGATCAGGCTTCTGAAAAGAGCCAAGGGAGGAAGGCTGAAGAATTCTGATATCTGTGTAAGCTCCAGGGTTTCATTTGGGGGAGACGTGATTTTGCAATCGCTTCTGCTGCTGTTGCAGTGAGTGAAGAAGGCAAGAGAGGCTGGTTTGATTGATTTAATATGATCAGGATTGCGAGAGAGGGAGCTCCGGAGATTCCTATAAATTTTTTGGAGCTCCTTTTCCTATGTTTTAATGAATTGCTTTGTGAAAGATCCCAGACAGGTGTTTTCTGCAGACATCACTTATTCACTGTCTATTTAAAAGTATGCTAAAATGTCTTACTTTAAAAATTTAGTGAAGCCAGCTGCTGGTGCCCTACAGTTTTGTCTTAAAAGATAGCAGGTGAAAAGGTACTAAGTGATATTTTTTAAGATTGAAGTAGAAGTCATATCATGATAGTGGCAGTTTGGAGAGCTCAAGTTTTTAACTCATTCGACTTTTTATATTATTATTATTATTATTCGATTTCTTTCTAGTTTTAAATACCTGCCTAGTGTATTGGTTGTTCTTCTGGAAGCTATCCTTGAAAACCATCTGTGTCCTTCAGCCCTGCACTGCACCATTAAGATGGTTTGATAGAAAATAACTTACCTGGTTTCCAGAAGGAAAGTAATTTGAATATGAGTCTTGGAAAGGAATAATAACCTGATAGATATAACTGTGCTATTATTGAATGATCTGAAAAACTGGAGCATGATTTTGTAGATGGCTTACTACAAAATTCTGTCCTCCTTTTAGGAATTTCTAGCACAAGCCAGAAAGCTAACTGGCATGTCAACAAGATGTTTTCCAATGCAAATAGCATAGAGTGAATCTGTTTTAAAATCTATAAATTCTCCTCTGCAGGGTTCGGCAGACTCCTACACCAGCCGTCCATCCGATTCCGATGTATCTTTGGAGGAAGACCGGGAGGCAGTGCGGAGAGAGGCAGAGCGGCAGGCCCAGGCACAGTTGGAGAAGGCTAAGGTAAAACCATGTCTTTCCTGGGCAAGACCTTCCTTTGCCAAGTATGCAGTGCCCTGCCCATGGTGGGCCACCTGTGGGAGTTGATCTGAAAGCTTTGTGTTTATTCTGTTGTCTGATTTAAGAAATGGGGCTTAGTATTTGCCCTTGCTAAGAAAGGGAGGTGAGATGTAGCAAGAGTGGTCTTTAACTCTGTATTGTTTTATTCACGCAACTTATCTCCTAGGATAGGTGATTTATTTGCACATATGTGAAGTAATATGTATATGAAGGGTATTAAATCACATCTTGTCATAAAATTATTTCATTTCCTTTTTCCACCAAACTCTATCTCTATTTTAGAAGAAATACTTTTTGTATTTTTTCAAGATTATTTTTATGGCACATAATTGTTCCCAAAATTTTGTTCCATAGAGTTTCTTTAAAAAAAATAGTATTTTCTTATGTTAGAAGATGGATGTTATAATGCTTTTCAAATGAATTCTTTTTCCCAAGTTATCTAATTGGATCATTTTAATCCATGACACTGTGTTAGAAGTTCATGAGTAAGTGAAACAGCTATAGAGAATTTTTAAATCTCTTGTTCAGCCTCTTGTGGCAAAAATGTTGATCATAAATCATACTATGTTCATCTTTCTTGCAGTCAAAGATTTTATTGATTTAAAAAAATAATCCTGCCTTTGCAAGGATTTTTTATCCATCTATTATATGTATTCTATTCTTTTTCCATTCTGTAATATATAATAATAATAATTAATATAGATGGGTGGCGTTGTGTTGACAGAATAGCCCTGTAGGAGTTCTTTGGCTATAAACTTTAGTGGAACAGATCTTCGAGTCTTTTCTCTTGCTCAGTGGAATTCAAAATGCTGACCTTTTGCTTAGCAGCCAAGTGCTTTAACCATTGAACCCCCAAAGCTCTAATATAGGTAGATGATTGAGAGATAGATAGATAGATAAGGATACAGGAAATCAGATGTGAAATATACAGTCTGAAAATTTAGACTATGTTCTAAATATGTGTCATTTAACTCCTTGTCATACTTTGAACACATTTCCTTGTAACAGTCATTCTGAGAGCTAGATATTCCCAAAGCATTGCCTGTTGTCTATGCTTAAGGTATCATATTCGGTAACTTCTGAATTAAGATATTTTAACAAGGTTATTGATTTTCTTTTAAAAGAAGTGACTGCTTGAAAACTGTAACTACTGTATTCACCTATTAAAATGAAAAAAAAAAGGGCATTAGAACATTTCTGCTGTCTGCTCCATGTCTGCAAGTAGTAAAATCTATGTGTGTTGCTATGGGAATGTGGCTTGGAGATGCCAGTTTGAATGCATGGACAGTCCTTATGTAATATTCATGACCTCTGGCACAGTTGCCATAGTGGTTCACAGAGGAGCTGCTAGGAGCCCTTGACATTTTAAAAGCAGTATTTCTAGACTTCAAAATAGTGTTCTTACCTCAGCATAGAAAATGTCTGCATGTCTCACACTGTCTGAACTGTGACAAGACACATAAACAGCAGAAATAAGGAAGGGTTTGGTGACAGTGAAAGCTGATAGAGCCATAAACTGATCTCCTCTACAGAAGTGAGCCATTTAAACCATTACACCAAATCCTTTGCCATTAAGCTTATTTCTAGTCATGAAATCCTTAAGTGTGCAGAGTAACTATTTGACTATTGAAAGGTGCTGTCAGAGGCATATTGCCAGACTTTTCTTCCAAGGCACCTCTGGGGGAATTAAAAAAACACCAACATTTGAGTTTGCAGTTGGATGCATGACTATTTCTATCACCCAGGAGCTCCTTGACTAAGTTGAAATTAAATAAATAAATAGAAATGAATAATGAAAAACATCAGATAATGAACATATGCACAGCTGCATAATTGCCACAAGGTTGTGGCGTTGTTTATATATGTTGCAATTTAGAATCTGAATTCCATATTCTATATTTTGCACTAGGGTGCAAAGAAAAGTCAAAGGAAAAAACAGTGTGTAGTCCAGAAATAAGATTTTCTATTTGTGGCTAATTTATTCATGTATTTTCACATGTGAAAATTAAACAGATCCTCAAATTGACTCACTGCATCATAGGTTTGTTTGTGAAAGTCTTCGATTAACTGATTGGGACATTTTCATCCATGACTCTGTGTTCTCAGTCATGAATAAGTGACACAGCTATACAGGACTTTTAAATATATTTTCCACCTTTTGTGGCATGGATTTTGATCTTACATCAAACTATGCTCTTGATATCTGCAGACTTCAAGCTAGTCCTTCCCAGGTCAGTCCTCAGTAAAGAGGCAGTACTGGGGAAAGACCCTGGTTTTTTAATTTGACTGAATTGAAACAGAACAGGAAAACTAATGATCAGAACAGGAAAGATTATTGATCTACACCTTGCTAAAAGTTAATATCCCTCTTAGAAAACAAAGGTATAGCATATGTATCGCACAGCAGCCAGATCTCTTGCCTTTTGGACTTTGTACAGAATCAGATGCAGTGGTACCTGCTCAAAGATGGCAGCCGATGGGCTGTCACAGCCTGTGCATCAAGCTTTGGAAAGGATTCACCCCACCTCTTCCAAGTCTCCCATCCTAGGCCTTCACTTAACCTCCTGTTCTGGTGGTTGGTTCAGATCACCTAGATTTTAGATATTTAGGTCTGTTCCAATTTTGCTTTGTTGGACAGATTGAATTGGTTCAAACGGATTCAAAACCCTGATTAACTATCATACAGATTTGTTTAAAGTTCATAATTATAAACGACTAGATGAATGGATGAAAGGAAATGTGAATTTGAAATTAATACAAGACAATAATGAGTCTACATGTAATGAAAGTAGATTATTTACATCCATTTTTCTTAAAGTTGGATCAATGTCTTACACCTTTGTTATAATCAAATACGTTACATTTGAGCAAGTTAGAATTTTAGTATGCTTGCAAAGAGATATAACTACAATTTAAGCTTGATTTATGTTTAAATCATGATTTGATAGCTTTGCTTTTTTAATTCTTGTCACATTGAGGAAGAAGTACGAAAGAGAGATTGTGGATGGTTTGTTCTTCCAAAGATTATTTATTCTGCTCTGCCATCATGTCCTTTTGGGGATAGGTTTCAAAATGAAGCCCTAAAGTTTAAAAATGCATGATTCTTTAATTATTTTCTGACAGAAGAACACTTTGCCTTGGCACTGTGGAGTGCAGAGCAGTTTCTTGCCACGAGGCCACCAGAGCTACCTTGCATAGGCACCTTGAAACAATTAAAAGTTTTCTGCACTTGCCTTGTCAGTATCACAGCATCCTTTGCACAGAAAGACTTTATAAGTGGGCGCTTTTACCCAGTGATCCTACAGATCCCATGTAATAAATAAACCTAAGTTAGGTCCCAGCAGTGCTCTGAGAGCCTAGTATTGGGTGGATATAAACTACATTATCTACTAATTGCCTTTATAATACCCCTGTGAAATAAAGTGATTGACAAGTAATGAGACTAGAGAAACTGTCTTTAGAAATTGTGACCTACAAAAGGTTACATAATGAGACACTCTGTGTTTCCAAGAATAAAACCTAATGTAATATTCTCTAGCTCTTTGTTGTGATGTCTCTTAACTAGTAACCTGTACAGTGAACTGATTAAAGCTTAGTTTTTAAGGCTATAAACATCAGTTGATAAAACCATTATTGTAGAATGAGTATAAGGATCCAAGTGGGTTGGAGAGGGTGGAAGCAGAGGGATGAGGATGTGCATGGGGTGGGGAGAGGATTAATCATGGGGTTATACAATTTGATGGGTTGGGCGTGAGGGAAATTGGGAGAATATGTTCTGGAAAACAGTGTATTCTAATTTTGTAAATAGTAAAATAATATTAAAAAATTTAATTTCATTAAAAAAACAAAACAACACAAACCATCAGTTGACTTGACCTTGTTTTCAAAACTTGTGCTTTCTGATTCCAAATGAGCATTTTGATCTTGTTCTGTTTGGCATGCCTTCCAAAGCCTACCTAGTTTTAGTTGATGATCTTTCATATTGTTTTGAATTCAAGTAATGTATTAATTTAGGTTATTCCCACATGAATATATTTTAAAAGGCAATCACTATATTGATTTTTTCTCACATGGAATTAATTTACTTTTTGAATATATAATTAAATCAATTTTAGTGTATTTAAAATTGTATGACTATAACCTACACACATTTTTATTACCCTCAACGAAACCATGTGCCCATTATCAGTAATTTCCCATTTATCCCCAAGTCTTATATCCCTAAACCCCACTATTGTTCAGTTGCTTTTAAGTCATGATGACCTCCATCAGGCCTCCAAGGCTGTAAATCTTAATGAAAGCAGAAGGCTTCATCTATTTCCTACAGGATGACTGGTGAATTTGAATCACAAACCTTTCCATTAGCAGCCCAATATGTAACCCACTCTACCAGGGCTCCCTAGGCAATAGCTAATTAGCTTTATGTCCCTATAGTTTTGTCTATTCTGAGTATTTCATTCAAATAATATTATATAATAGGTGATTTTTGTCATTTACTTCTTGCCTGGAAGCAGGAGCGGCATCCACTTCCGAAATGGCTTGCCTCCAGAAACTCTATGTACGAACAGTGCTCAGGCCGTTCGTTCATAGGGTCGCTATGAGTCGTCTACGACTCGACAGCATTAAACAACAAACAACAAGTTCTTTTACTTAATATTTTCAAGGTTTATTTACATTGTAGCATGTTTCAGAACTTTATTCCTTTTTATTGCTGAATAATATTTAGTTACCTGGGTATAACATATTTTACTTACATGTTTATCAATTGATGAGCATTTGGGTTATTTCCACTTGTATGTTTTAAATAGTCTTGGTGTGAGCATTCAATATACAGTGTGTGTGTGTGTGTGTGTGTGTGTGTGTGTGTGTGTGTGGTGTTTTCATTTCTCTTGAGAGTGTGTATGCCTCGAAGTAGAATTACAGGTCATATCATCATCTACTTT